AACTTCTATTTAACTACATTTTATTTTTTCAGGATCAGTCTAGCTTCCAGGCAAAGGAATCCACAGTCTGAGAGCTCAGCATCAACTCAGCCTGACTGGTGATTCCATACATTCTGTCCTTGACAATCTATACCAGAAACTGGACTCTTTCATTGCTTTTTGGAAACTAGCCCCTTGCTACCACCACCAGCATTTTATTCCTCACTCTCAGGAGACCATTTTCCCACATATATTTTCAATCCCTCTAAATCTAGATAATCAGCCTACTTGCCCTAACAGCCATCCTGTTGAGGCTTGTCCCTTTCCATTCTGACAGGAAAGTCTGACAGAGCCAAGGAGCTAAAGATAAGTATAAGGGCAAGGACAGGAATAATCATTGAGAAAAGCCAGTGTGCCAAAACTGCACAGGGCCAGGCTTGGCAATTGTACTGCATAGCTGAAGGGCACCAACTAAGGGAGGAGACAGGGCACAAATACCATCTTCCCAGAGCACTCTGTGGCATGAGGGTAGTTACATGGCATGCTGGCTTGTCTGCCTTCTATTGTTTCATGACATTGTGTATGCACCCAGCCAAATTGATGAATGAAAAAGAGCTCTTGCTAACCACTTTCAAATTTAAACCCGATCAAATAGGATAGAAGTTTTAAAGATGGGTATCAGCTCTGGTGTCTGCTTTTACCTGTTTATTCCTTTCTCTTTTCTCTGCCAACACTATATAGCAAAAGCGGGGGGAGGGGAAGAATATATGAAAGCTTCAGGGTTTGGAAAAGACCTAAGTTTGAATCCTGACTTTGCTTCCTGTAACTGGAGTGTGTGTGTGTGTGTGTGTGTGTGTGTGTGTGTGAGAGAGAGAGAGAGAGAGAGAGAGAGAGAGAGAGAGAGCACACACCTGACTTACCATAGACACTCAACAAATAATAATTATCCTTTATTTGTTGAAAAGGTTTGAAATGTTTTTGACATACCTTGTTGCAAAGGGGGAAATGAACTGTATAAAGAGAAGAAAGAAATGAGAGGATTTGGACTATATATAAATAAAAGGTGAGAATAGTGAGAGCTGTGGTTCTGAGGTAGAAAATGAAAGACACTAACTAGTCAAAGAGGAAGAAGACGCCCCCCATCCCAAGGCATTTTCAAACCACCAGAGAGCTAAGGATGTTTAATAAAGAAGAATAAAGGAAAATGAAGATCAAACAATGGTGCCATTTCCATTCTCACTCAAAATGAAATGTGACAGCCTTTCTACAATGGGTTTACCAATCCAAGAGCACACAGAATTCATCAGATCCTATTTGCATTATTTCCTGCTGCTTCTTTTAGTTGACATTTATGTGAATCGACTTCAGAATCCATATCAAATGGCACTTTTCCAGATTTTTCCCCATAGAATCCAAATGCAAAAATGTGTATATGAATATATTTTTACCTACGTTCTAAATGAAGGAGCTCTTTTAGCTTGTAAGGAACCTACTTTTGCCTGTGCATGTCTATGTTTTCTCATTTCTCTATGTCCATCTTTGGATTTCATTCCATCAGGGAATTCTGGGAAAATATTGGGAAGTGTCTGCATTTTTTCAACAATGCAGTGCATGGCAGTTAAATTATTAAAAACTGATCTCCAAAATGCTTGTTGAATGTTGATGACAAAGTAAGATCCTTTATTTACAGCTAGCTTAAGATTGATTCTCTGGAGGTAGTAACCTGGAGAACATATATACACATTTACACATATGCAGATAATATGGAGAGGCATATATGGAACATGTATTTATATACTGCTTCTAAAGCTAGTGGGTGAAAGAGTTTTAGAATATATTGAGGAAAAAAAATCTGGAACTTGTGGAAAAACCTATATGTTAAGATCTGTAGCCAATAGATAGAAACTAACTCACATGCAGACATGCTTGTGACTAACAATTTCTCGTATCTTGGCAAGGCCAATGGGTTCATTCTCAGTTAAGTGTGTAGATTTTAAAAAGACAGTTTTAATACTTGGAATATAATAGTCACCCTTTTGCATTGTGACTGGCAAGTGCTGGGCAACCAGAATCTGCAAAGTATATAGCGACCTTATAGAATAAAGCACCAGAACTTACCCAGGGATGCCCACATCTGTGAGACCTCAGGAGGCTGATACCAGAGCTCTTTTTGGAAACTTCAGGTGTCAGCTCACACAGGTCTCTAAGATTGTTCCTTATCCTGTATGCTAGTGACCAGGTCCTGATGAGAAAGCCCTCAGGCACTGTAAGGGGTCCATTAACTCTTTCATTAATTAACTCCCTCATTTCTTAAAAACAGCAGCTGACTGCTTCAAGCAGTTGTGACTCTTCAGACTCTTGCCTTTCCTACAGTGCAGCCTTTGCCAGAAAGCCAGATGCTTTGGCAGTCTGGCACCCACATTCTCTGTGCTGCCTGGTGCAGGTCATGTTCTTTGGGTGGCTTACATGGTATGTATACATAGCACTCTAAGCTTATCTGGCCTCTAGGTCCCTCTGTATTGCTGAGTCCCTTCTTTCTCTCCCCATTGCCTTGGTTGTCACCATTATCATTATCACCTAAGCAACATCTCTGTTTCTTTTACCCTTAACCCAGCCCACTCCAAACCAGTATTACCATGGCAGCTGAAGTGATAGTTCTAAAATTCAGATCACTTTCAACTTAAAATCTTTTTGTGACTTTTTTCAGAAATCAAACCCAAACTTAATAGGTCACACAAAAGACTCTGAAGGTCTGGCTCTTATCTTCTATCTCCAGCATCATCTCCTTGAACTCCCTGCTGGCATTATAAACTTGAGCCATTATAAGCTACTTGCACTTTGTAAGCACTATATTCTTTCACATTTTCATGATTTTGCCCATTGGTACAAATCTAATGCATAGAATACCCCCTTCAGTCCTCTTGGTGTAGCTGGTTCCCATTCATCTTAAAAAAAAAAAAAAAAAAAAAACAGCTTTATTGAGGTAAATTCACATAACATATAATTCATTCATTTAAAATGTGCAATTCGATGGGTTTTAGTTCAGCCACAGAGTTGTGCAACAATTACCATGATTTAATGCCAGAATAACTTTGTCTCATCAAAAGAAACCTCCTATGAATTAGCAGCCACTTTCCATTTCCCTCCAACTTCTTTCCCCACTCAGCCCCTAGCAACTGTTAATCTGCTGGCTCTCTGTGTAGATTTGTCTATACCAGATTCTTCTTTAAAGATTTCTCAGGTGTTGCATCTCCCTCCCCGCCCTACCCTGGGCTTCAAAAATATCCTATGCATGGCTCTGTCTTCATGGTGTCCTTATCTGCCTCCCCACAGGAAGTTTCTTATTCATCTCTGAAACCCTTTATCTTTATCTTTATCACTTTATAGTACTTTGCCTGAATATCTAGTACTTTGCCTGACTCATGAGCAGTACTCTATAACTATTGGCTAAACAAATGAAGGACAAGGAGGGAAGCCTCTCAAAAACCAGACAGTGGTGGGAGCTTATGTGCTCATTTTCCAACTCATTTTCACTTGGATAAATTCAGCAACCACCACACTGATATATTTCCCATCTCTACCATTGCTATGCATGTTCCAGAACCTAGGGAAACATAACCATAAATAGTGGAGAAGTATAATCTTCAGAAAATATTAATGATAACGCAGTTTAAACTTTATCTGTTGGACTAACAGTGGCATTCTCAGGTCATCTTTCTACTTGCTTAATTTTCTGTTTATTCTTTCTCTCTCTTTCAACACTTTCTCCTTCACTCTCTAAATTTGCTTTTTTTGAAAAATTTTTTTTAGTTGTTGATGGACCTTTATTTTATTTGCTTATTTATATGTGGTGCTGGGAATCGAACCCAGTGCCTCACACATATGAGACAAGAGCTCTACCACTGAGCTAAACACCAGCCCCTGCTTTTTTTAAAAACACATTTCAGAATATCTTTGTTTAACAATGTAGGCTCTAAAATTAAAAAAAAAAAACTCACTTCAGTATGAAATGTCTGAACAGGAATCCACTTTGAAAACTGTTTAATTTTTCCATTTCAATGCAACACATTTCTTTTTTCACAATTGGATATTAAAAAACTCATCAGCAAGGGAATATAAAACAATTTCAAAGCAAAATGGAATATAAAGATGTTCAAAACTAAATCAGCATTTTATTGACTAGAGACAAATGGGGATATATGCTGACTCTGGCCACAGTTGTCTACCTTTGTCTCTATGCCTTTCTCCCAGTTCTCATTCTTCTCTTAACCAATATTTTTCAACCCTTCCTCTCCCCTATTCCCAGCTCCTCCCTGCCTCTCTAATTCTCTCCCCTGCCCCATTTTTCTGTTTGGGCTCTTCTTTATGTTTCAATTTCTTTTTCTCCTCCACTTTCCCTTTCATTCTTCTTCTTCCTGATTAGCCTACTTTCTCTTTCTTTCCTTAGGATGATCCTTTTTTTCCACCTAGAATGAGGTAGCAAAGGTGGGAGGAGGTGAGCAGGAAAAGAGAGGGAAACAGATCTACATCGGTATTGTTCCATTCCTACCCCATCATCTGCCACCAAAGTGGATGCACCCTGGTCTGAAGCACTTATATTTCTTGCCTTTTATGTAAGGCACATAACCTCTCTGTGCCTCACTTTTCTCCTCTCTAAAGTTAAAGTAAACTAATACTTGTCCAGACTACCTCCCAGAGATGTTAGGGTCAGACCTGAGAATGAATATGAAAAGGTTTGAAAAGAAACAGGCCCCCGTGATTGGGAAGCACTCAGGGAGGGCGCTGGTGGGAAGGGTGGGAGGATGTCTGCCTTGCACTGCATAGGGACCTAATTAACTGAGGATTACAGTTCTTGTCCTTTTCAGGAATGTGTTTCTTTTCACCTTTGTTCTGCTCATCAAATCACTTGGTTGTCTGTGTGCCTTGTTTGAATGTTCTTAGTGTCTTCGGAGGGGTCGGATAACTTGCTCCTTTGTATGCTGTTGATTTTTATCCCTTCCTTTTCTCTTGCCTTGGGCTAGCAAACGGAACCTCCAGCAGCCAGCTCTCTACCCCCAAGTCTAAGCAGTCTCCCATCTCTACGCCTACCAGTCCTGGCAGCCTCCGGAAGCACAAGGTATTATGTCTCTTATACCTTACTAAACTCCTTTGCACTCAGTTTCTTGAATGACAGGGTGGAAGTTTTCTCTTCCATTCTACTTCAATGGCAGATTAAAGCCAGAATTCCCCTTCATCTGGCTCTGCTAGCTTGATGTCCTGAGAATCCCAACAGGGATCAAGTTTCTTGTTACTTTTATTTATTCCTCTGACACCTGCTTTTTTAGATTTCCAGTTACATCTATATCTTTTCCAAAAGGAAGAAGTACAAAGATCCCATGTACCTCCTTCTGAGGTAATTGTGTAACCAAACAATGTCTTGGGGGATGGATTGAACATTTGCCTCCCCAATTCAGAAACATAGTAAATTGATACCCTTTGAGGGCAACACCAGGTACCAGTCAAGGGAAGTAACATAAAGATAGAAGTCAAGAAACACTTGTACCAAGTTACTCCCTTTAGATTTGCTGGACATCTATGAATAGACTCTTGTTTTACTCTGTTCATTGTGTGGCAGATTCTGGTGCAGTGTTTCGAGAAAAGACACAAACATATTGCAGTGGCTTTGGCACCATTTGCACCTCTTTAGCTGTCCCAAATAAATGTATCATTAAGATAATAGAAGTGTAGGGGCTAGGGGAGTAGCATGGAACCTTCAAGGACCTGGGTTCCATAACCAGAACCACAAATAATAATAGAAGTACATAAATTTCCTAGCTGTACTTTCCAAGCAGATTGATGCCCAGAAATCTCTCCTGTATAAAATATGCAAGGTGGTCACTGCCTTAAATTTCTTACACCTGAAGAATGTGTACATGGTTTCACCTCTGATGACTACACTGTGAAGCAGGTTCCTCTAAAATTCTCTTGTTTTCTTCTGGTTCACAAGACTTGATATGAGATTAAGAGAGGAAAAAAAAAGGCTAACTCCATCACAGAACCATAAATGGTGACAGGCGGTGGAAGACCCCTTAGATGGAGATGAATTTATTTCATTTGATTCTTTCACTAACTTATGAGGTTGCCATTTTACAGATGAGAAAATTGAGACCCAAATGGCTAAGTTACTTACCAGGAAAACATAATTAGCTATGGGACTGGTACCGAGGTCACTACCAGTGTAATGCTAGAGTCAGTTCACACTAGCTTTTGAGAGCTGATTGTGTATATCACTTCCTGTGTTCAGTAACATCATGTTGGTAACTTGAACTTGGCCACAGTGGGAATATTTACACCATGAAAATCAGTTATTTCTTTTCCCCATAGAAAGTCAGTTGTTAAACATTGAACAGCATGCTACTGCCTGACATCCATTTTCATTTTATTTTTTCTACATCAGACTTTTAATTTGTCTATATCAGACAGCTGTTGCCTGTCCTATCATTCCTAATGTCCATTCCATTCCCTTAATTACCCTTTAACTTCTGATATTGATCCTAACCAGGACCTTCTGATTATCCTGCTGAGCTATTTGGTTTCATAATTTTCTGACCTGTCTCAATAGACATTTACTCAGAGACTGTGAGATGGATGAAAGTTACTTTTACAATTAGCTTTCAGTTATTCTTTGCTGAACACCAAAGCTTGTTAATATTCACATTCCAAGATGGGAGCAGCCTTTACTGTTGATCTGCTGCCCATAATGAACCTCCTACGATACGCTGCATTTTAGTATCTCTTTGCTTTGTGCCTTTCTGCCCCTGCCTTCCTTCTGGGAAGTGTAATCATTACCTTCCCCAAAGTGCTAGAGGCAGCTTGGGTATTTGTTCTGCACACTTGAGTCGTTCAACTTTTCAACTGACATGTCTGGTTCATTTAGGCTGAAGACCCATCATCCATAAACCCATTGAGGTGAGTGTTGGTATTGTTAAACCGTTTCTCCTGGTTGGGCTTGCAGGAACTTGTGGCTTGCTTTTCTTTTTTTTTTTTAATATAAGTCTAAAAATGAATTATTGAAGGACTAGAACAAGCTCACAAGTGGCAGCATTACAGAGCCTCACTATTTTCTTCACTGTGGAATTTTCAGTGTATCATTTTATTTTTAAAATTATTCTTCCTTAAGACTGTTTAAAAAAACAAACAAGTAATAAATCATATAATTTTCTAGAACAAGCTGTAAAATAAAATAAACACTTGAATTTTTATATAATGCACTATTTTAAAAACTTGCTATTTTTGTATCTTTTCAAACTTACAAAAAGGTTGCAGGACTGGGCTAGTGTTGTGGCTCAGTGGCAGAGTGCTTGCCTAGCATGCATGAGGCACTGGGTTTGATCCTCAGAACCACATAAAAATAAAATAAAGATGTTGTGTCCACCTAAAAACTAAAAAAAATAAATATTAAAAAGTTTCAAGACTAATAAATGCCTCTGTATTTCCTTTGTATAGATTCACCAGCTGTTTTTATTTTCCCAAATTATTGAGGATCCCTTTTGGAGATAAAATCACCTTTTTGTGTGTTCTCTCTCCCTAACCTCACAGACATACCTATATGCATTTTACTATTTTTCTGAATCATTTGAGATTAAGTTGCAAACATCATGCTCCTTTACCCTGAATGCTGAAGTGTGTATTTTTAAAGAACAATAGTATTTTCTTTCATAACCACAATCAGGAAATTTAACACTGACATAATACAGTCTGTATTCAAACTTTGTCAGTTCTCAGTAATGTTCTTTTTCTGGTTCAGCATCTAGGATAGGAAAACACATTGCATTCAATTACACTATCCTTGTGGTCTTCTTTAATTTGGAAAAGTTCCTGAGACTTAATCTTTTGGTACAGTATGTTATAGAAAGGAAGAGAATAGGTCAGTTACTTGGTAAAATGTCCTTCAATTTGGATTTGTCTGCTATTTCCTTGTGATTAGATTCAGATTGTGCATTTGGAGCCAGGCTATCATAAGAATAATGTTGCATCCCCCTCAGTGAATCCTATTGAGGGACAATAAGCCTCACACTTACACCAGTAATGAAGCTTGAAATGATTTTTCTGTGTAAGCTAAAATGTGTCTTGTGACCTTGGCTCAATCCCCCTGGGTCTCAGGTCCCAGCTTCATACCCCTCCTTTCACACAGGTACCTGAGCCTTAGAACTATCAATATCCCAGGGCAGTGGGCCTGAGCATATCTCATCTGAACTTCTATCCAAGTGAACCTGAAAGGTGTGAGTCATGGTGGAGACAGGAAGCAGGTGGCTGAGGCCGTGACTTTCCTCCTGCACAATTGGAAACAAACTTGAAGTCCCAGAATCCCTTTGGTAACTTTTGATGGCTGTGATGGGGGCCCTAAGCTGTAATCAGCCTTTTGGCTTCTCCTCTTAAGCAGCTCATGGAGAATCCTTAATGCAGCTGCAAGGGGGTTAGCCAAAGTCCGCATACTCAAATGCTACAATATGGACACTAAGTAAATCTTCGGGTACTTAATGAGAACAACATTTTACATTTCTATAAAGGTTCAGCCTTTTCCATAGTCATTTCTCCTTTTCCCTTGTTATATTCCTGTGGAAAAGATAGGGCAGATAGTATTCTCATTTTGTAGATGAGAACGAAGAGGTGCAGAGATTAAAGACAGCTTCAGTATGATTAAACAAAAAAATTATCGAGGATCCCCTTTAGAGATAGTTCCACCTTCAAGATCTTAAAAAATTAAAAACAGGGAAACTCGTTCAATTAAAAGTTTTCCCAGATTAATAGTTGCACTTGGAGGCATTTTGTCTGCAAAGTATCTAAACATAACATATTATCTGAATATAAAACTAACATTATTTAAATATACATTTTCCTTTATGTTTCCAAAAATTCTTTCTTCTTTCTAGAAGTGGCCAGAGAGATAGCTGGATGAATAAAACAGAGTCCTGACCCCTAAATCACAAGGGCAAATAACTCTAATATGTGTGGCTGTGCATAGTGTAATGGACACCAAAAAAAGGACTGCAAGAGGACAAAATAGGGTGGGAAAGACATCAGACTGGGGGAGGGTGGGAGATGGGGAAAGCTTTTCAAAGAAGTGACATTTAAATGGGGCCTTGAAGACTGGGTAAGCTTTTGATGGCTGGTAAAGAGAACAGGCATTTCAGCTTTAAAAAAATTAAAACCCAGCAAGAACAAAGTCACGACACCATAAAAGTGCAGCATTCATTTGAGAAATAGCAAACTCAAACTAGAAGCCAGTTTTTTCAAAACTCTTCCCTGATTTCCTTTGGACTATAAGCTCCTTGGACCAGAGACCATTTTTTTTTTTTGGTTTTGTTTTCTCTAACGCAAGAGTATCGCCAGCACAGCTGTATTTGTTACAAACATTTTGTTCTGTAGGGCTCCAAGGGACTAAGCAAATGAATTTCAGGTGCAAATTATTTGTATTGTTAAGCAATATGTGTGTTTCTGTATTTCTACATATCAATCAACAAAACCAGAATGTTAAGATAATTCTTTTTCCTGAGCATTGTTCTACCCACACAAGAAAACACATTTTGAATGTGAAATAAATTGATGGAGGTACAGAGGTTCAGAAGTTCATGCCTAGCTCTGGTCTTGTGAATTCTCTTCTTAGCCTGTACCTCTAACACATTCTAAGTCACAGCAGCTTCAAGTGGAGTCGCCTCACAATTCTACCCTATGCCTTCACCCATTGTTCCAATACAACTTCACTAAAGTGTCTGTTACTTGAAAATTAAGAGCAGAGATAAACGGTAAAGCACAGTGAGTTAGTATGATAAGACTCAAAGTGACCTTCATATTTTTAAGAGCACTTTTGTAATGCCTGAGAAATATCCAGGGAGTTTGTTAACTTGGCAGTATCCATCTCATTTCTTGTGATTTAGTGCAACTAAAGAAAATAATGTAATTATTATATTTTATAGAATTTTAGCGCTAAAAGGAACATTAAAGATCTTATAGTTTATAAGTTCCTCATTTTTCAGATGTAGAAAGCAAAGGCCTGGAAGAGGAAGTTAAATAGCAGAGTTGGGCCTAAAATTTGAGTCCCATGACTCTTAATCGTGTGATTTTTCTACTGCAGCA